GCCCAAAATGGTAGTTCAAGTCCGAGACTTTGTAGCAGCCTGCGAAAACTGCAAAGAGAACAAGCACACCACACAGATAAAGCGACCAGTGATGGGGAAGGAAGTACGGACAGATCGACCCATGCAAAAGATGTACCTGGATTTCTTAGGAAAATATCCGCGGTCTCGCCGAGGAAATACCATGCTATTTATCGCATTAGATCACTTGACCAAGTTTGTGTGGCTAAAAGCGATGCCGAAGGCCACGTCGACAGCTGTAATCCGATTCCTGCAAGAAGGAATATTCACCCAATTCGGAGTTCCGGAAACAATCCACACGGACAACGGAAGGCAGTTTGTATCCAAGGAATTCGAGAATATGCTACAAGAATATGGAATTACACACATGAAGACAGGGAGATACGCACCACAATCCAATGCTTCGGAGAGAGTGAACCAATCCGTATTAGCAGCAATCCGAGTAAACATCCAAGATGACCACACGCGATGGGATGAACACTTACCGGACGTACAAGCGTCGCTGAGGTCATCCATACATAGCAGCACCGGAACTTCGCCGTATTTTGCCATGTTCGGACAGCACATGTTCACGAACGGGAAAGATTACTCGCTGGCTCGCAAGTTGAATGCCCTGAATGAAGCTGAGATAGCCCAATTGCCCAGGTCGGAACGACAACAGCTATCCAGAGAAAGAATAAAGGAAAGGATACATCAGGCCTACGAGAAAGCAGCGAAGAGTTATAACTTAAAGGCCCGAGAGATTCGATACTCACCGGGACAAGAAATATACAAGAGAAACTTTGTCCTAAGTGACTTCAGCAAGAATAGAAATTCCAAGTTTTGCAGAAAGTACACTAAATGTCGAGTCACAAAAGCGTTGGGAAACTCTTTGTACGCTTTAGAAAACTTGCGCGGCAATCCTTTGGGAGTTTTCCATGCAAAGGATCTGAAACAATAGTGCCCGGCTAGCAAATCACACTCACCAGGCATTAATCTCAGGGTTGTGGGCGGTGGCCTACGTTGGGAAGTACAACCAGCAGAACACGCACATCCTCCACTCCAGTTCCGAGACGAGCATCGAAACCGTAGTGTGCTTGTTATGTGCTAAATGATAAGGAAATATGCACAAGTTGTAAATTTAGCAAAGCTGTTTACATTAGGACTGATAACGATAGTCGAAAAATCGATACAACACTATCGACGACTCGTGAGTTCAGGGAGTCGTGCAGCTTGGACAAGTCATGGAACTGGTTCCTTAAACCGGATAACTCCCAAATGAACCAAGGTTTAAATTCGGAAAGTTTGAGTGGTTTTTGGGCTAAGAGAGGCTTGAAAAATTGAAACAAGCAAGGGTGTTTAAAGGGCAAATATAGTTGGTCGCAGACGGTTCTGGTGGACAAAAAAAAAATATATAAGATTAGAAGTCAAGTTCCAGTGAGTGATAAAAAAAAAAATCCTTGTTAATGTGAGTGTAGTTGAAATATAAATATTTATAGAATATTCCGTGAGGGAAAAGTCTGGAGCAGGAAAATATTCTGACGTAAGGAGAGACGAAGACCAGCCACCAGGAGGAGATCTACATTTTCGACAGGAAAATTGGCCGCTCATCCTCGGGTGGCCCCAGGTTTTTATTCGCCCCTTACATTTGCCACAGAATTAGCAAAAGGTTCCCGAAAGCTACAAGCGGCAAACCAATTCAAAAAGCCGAAAATTAATACAACAAAATTTGAGACTGATGATATTAATTATGTAACCCGCCCAAATTAAGTTATTCCTAATTATATCCATTTAAATTATTTATTTATTTAACCTATTTATTTACTATTGGAATATTGTTTATTGTTATTTATTTATTTATATATATATATATGTGTTCCCTGTGAAAGTGCGGTACCGTAGGTAGGGTTATAAAATGTTAAAATTTAAGCAAAAATTATGAATTATAACGTGAAAACGAAATGAAGTCGTGTGAGTAGAGATTCGTGTTGGGGGTGAGATGAGTTAGGCGAGGTAGCAGGATCCACCGACCAGGATTGGGAGATGTGTCCAAATGATGTTGAAGGATACACTCATGGTTGGGAGGGACTCCAGGACCACAATAAGATCTGTGTTGTCCAGTCCAGATGTTCGAGAAAAATCCGTCGTGAAATTGCCAGTTGTCCGAGTTTGAATTTCCGTTTTGTTTGTTTTTTTTTTGTTGTGTCTGCTGCGTAGACAACAGTGTTGGTTGTTCCCCTCCCTGGGATGTTCGTTGACTAGCCGGCATATACACTGCGCGAAAAGCAGGACACGACATTAAAAATATAATTAAATATGTGTATATAAAAAATCACTTATTATGTGTTTCTTAAAGTTGTGTTAAATTCTTTTCCGCAATTAAAAGCTTTGATTTGTTTTTATTGTCCTTTTTTGATTGCCTAAGGTTTTTAGAAGATACGAAACCAATGTCAATTTTGTAAATTATGTTCAAAATCCCCTTGATGATTTTTTATTCGTTTTTTGTTTTTAGAGTTTGAAGTTCCTTTCACAAACCGTGACCCGAACATTACTTGTTTAACAACACTGCCCATATTGCAGTCATCTGTTCGTGGCGTTTGTTGTTGTTGCCTCTGCCCACTAATTAGCTTCCCACCGGTTGCAATGAAAATAACTGCTTACCTGGTGCTCCAGGCCCTCGCCATTGCCCAGTCGGACGCCTCCAGGTCCGCCACATCCGACCAGGTGACCATCAGCGAGTGCCCTGGCCGCAGTGTGCCCCAGATTCGGGCGGAGGCGGCAGAATTCGAAATTTCGCTGCTTTTCTACTACGTGTCCTGGGCAAGCGAAGCTCGACAAGCACGTCTGGTGTACAATGGACTAGCCCACTACTACCAGGAGTATGCCTACTTCGGGGCCATCGACTGCTGGCACTTGCAGTGCAACTGCAGCCGTACACTTATGCCGGCTCCCGGCGTCGTTGGAGCAGGAGGCTATCCGGACAAGTGGCCCACCCTGGTGGTGCGCTACGGTCAGAGGCAGATGCTGCAGTACCAGGGCGCGTGGAGCTTTGAGGAACTCGCACGGTTCATGAATCATGTGCTCCAGCCACTGGATCGGGCACACAGTAGTCAGGAACTGGCTGCCATACGAAAGCACTCGGATGCAGTTGTTCTGGGCCTGCTGGACTCGCCGGACGACCGGGCCTACAAGACGTACCTGGCCGCCGGGCTGCGCTGGCTGGAACTGGACCCAGAGAGGAATATCCGCTTTACGGTGAACTTTGGCAGCAGCGCCAAGAAGATGCTCAAGTCTCCGGGGGCCAAGCTGCCCCAGTTCGTGGTCATCGACAGCCGGAATGGAGTGCATACGTTTAATAGCACTTCAGCGGAGTGGAAGGCAATGGACATTCTGCGCTGGGTACGGAACACACTTAAAAACTCATCGCTGTTCTCCAATGGCTATGGTACTCCCATGACCATCGCCATGAAGGCGCGCCATGTTCCCGTGCTGGCCATGGGTGTTCGAATGAATCAGTACCACCATGCGAGTGTCATGGGCGAGGAGATGGCCAGCGCTCAAAAAAAGCAGTCTGAGGGATGCGAAGATTACTGGAACACAGTGATGGAACAGCCTGAGGAATCTTTCTCCCATTTGCTAGTTCCCAAGGAGCTGTTTCGGGAATCTGTTCAATCTCACACCTGCTATCCCGCTTGGAAAATAAACAGAGTCACGCTAAAGAACTACTACCGCATCAACAGGTACCTTGACTACATATGGAGACAGTACTCGCACCAGAATGACCAAAGGAAGCGAATGGTACCCCAATTGCTGAGGCTGCACTCTAGAAATCTTTGCTTGGCTCACTCGCAGCATGGAACGCCGGCCATGAAAATTGGCATTGCAAAAATGGTAACCAAATACGGACAGCTCATTTGGCAGCACTCAGCAGAGAACGCCGCTCACAATCGATCGCTGGGCGTGGTGATCTTCGATTCTGTGAAGTATAGAGACTATTTACATCAGCTTGGCATTCAGCAACATCATCAACAGGTCCAAGTGTTCATCTTGGATGCGGCTGAGGAGTCCTTGTATGTGATGCCACAGCAAAATACCTTCTCGTATGTGGCACTTAAAGATTTTATACGGAAATTTTACGCCAGAACTTTGCCAAGGATTCACAAGAATGCGCCTGCCACTAGAGATTCTGCGTTCAGCAGGCAATACAACAGGCAAATGCTGCTTCAGGCGCTACAGCGACAGAATGCCACCAATGTGGTATTTATGCATCGTCCGGACTGCGCTTTATCAGGCGTCTTGTCGCAGGCGTTCCTGCAGGTTTCGGCGCTACTAAGCAGCTCCGAGTTGCACTTTGTGCGCTTCGACAGCCAAGCGAATGATCTGCCCTGGGAACTGGCCATGCCGATCTCCCCCTCACTGGTGGTCTTTCCCCGGGCAAAGCCCACCGAATCCATGGTGTTTCCCACCGATGTGCGGATCGATGTCCAGAGCGTCTTTGCATTTGTCATAGCCCAACTGGAGCCGGAGCAGCAGGTGCGTTCGGTCCTGACCAGCTGCAGGCGGCGAATGCGAAATGTGAGGAGCTGCCTCGACTTTGCCCGCAACCTGGTACTCCAGCATGTCAGCCAATACCTCAAGTTCTGGGAGATCTATGAGCGGGAACGGGACGTCATCCTGTCCCATCTGAAGGAATTCAACGACCTGCACATGTCCATCGAAAGCAGCATTCGATTATAGCGAAATGCCTCCGAACTAAATCCTTAGTTAATACTTACCGTTGATAATTCCAGGGTAAGCATATGCCTACCCGCTATCCTGTAGCACGTAAGTCAAGTTGTCTCTTCATAAGGTATTTAACACTCATATTTGTATCAAATAGGAAATAAACAAGAGGTATAGCTGTTGATTTAATGTCTTTATTTAATATTCGTCAAATTAATCCAATGAACATAACAATAACGGGGAAAATATGGCATTTCAAATAAAATTCGATTCGAATTTCGGCTTCATCAACTGAGACGATCTTTGTTATTAGCAAGTTGTTTATTTATTCAACATCGAAGACGCCAGGCAAACAATTATTTCACGATGCCCTTGAGCATGAGGGCATTTTGCATATATAAGCTTTTTCTTACTGAGTGCAGTTTGGAAAAAAATAAAATTCTTTCTGTGCGTAGAAAGTCCACAACTCTAATTAATAAGGAAAAGTTCTGCCAAGTGCATATAGCTTTCATTTACTTGAGCAAATCGAAGTTTTTGAAGCAACTTCTCCAAGTATAGAAGACATTTCTTGATTTCTCCCTGGTTCATACGTTTGAATACATTGTGATCCTTGTCCAAAAGGAATTCCAGCCTACCAGCTCGCAGATGATCCACCAAATGGCTCCACATCTCCACCAAAAGAATGCCAAGGTCCTTTTCCCAGTCAACCGTTTCAATTCGATGGAGCAAGACTGTTTTCAACATGTAACTAGACAAGTGAGGCAACTGCCTAGCGTGGGCGTCACGTAATCCCTTCATCAGTCGTAGAACATTTTTCAAATTTTGCGAATCCTTCATCATTTCGCGCTCCAAGTGAGGAGCACAAACCATGAATGTGGTTTTCGATTTACCCTTCATCTTTTGCGGAATTGCGAACCAAGGGCAATTTTTGAGAACCTCAGCAGAAACTGGGGGAGTATTAAGCGGCCACTGCCATCCAGTAAATTCGATTGCCGGCACCAAATCAAACGATATCGAGCGGCTTCCACTAGTGGCTACGATGGTGTGGGCACAACCATATCCTTCAAGTGTATAGCTTAATTTATAGACTCGTCCACCCGTGGTCGTAAGTGTGGGCTTTGACCGAAATACCTTATGAAATGCATCGCGCAACCAATCTTGAAGTTTAGCACGGTTGACCCGTTGGGGCTGCGTTATTACAGAACCCGCCTCCAGGTAGATAAATCCACTGTCGATTGGGTTCGGCGTAATGGACAACGGAAATTCGAGTATCATGTGCATGTCAAATTCATCGGGAACATTTAGCTTGACGCGATCCAAATAGCTTCCTAAAATAAAATATATGAGTAAAAATGCAGTTGTAACCAATTATTACTTATGTAATTGTATAACGTTGGCGTATCACATCCATAAATACTTTATGACTTCCTGAACTTAGCTTAAAGATAACACCGTATATAGTAAATACTGATTTCTTACAATTCTGTCGCCATAAAATACATTTCTCTACAACTGAAACAGATAGTTAAATTTTTCCAGGAAAAAATATTTTTTACGCGCCAAAAGTTTGTTTACGCAAAAGTTTATGTTATAATGTGGCTCTTGTTAATTTGTTTCTCCCGATATATGTAGCTTAGCAAAAGAAACAAACTAAGTAATAGAAAAAATATTTGTTCTCGATTTCTTTGTAACTGGAAATTGTTGCACTTGAACTGTAAATTATTAACTTACCGCCCAGACTAAGACGGTCGAAAACGTCGGCAAATGTGTCATCCACCCGTTTTAGTTCGTCAATCACATAGTTTTGGATTTCCTCAGCGTCTTTTGTATATTCGGCGCGCTGTTTATCAGGAATTAACAATTTCTCCAAAATCGTTTGCATATGCGTAGCGAAACTCATTTTGCCGCGACCGGCAGAAATATGGTAACTGCGTGGAAGAAGCATCTGGAAGCAAATGCTGAGGCTCTTTCTGGGGATCCCCTTTATATGTCCCTCCTACGGTCGTTAGGCATCACTGGTTTTTTGTTTTCTCATGTGGTGAAAACGGTTGTACACCACACCCCCGCGATTGCCAACACTGTTTTAGAGATGCTCCAAAACCACCAGAAATGTCCGAAAAAGTAAACCTCATAGATCAGGCGACCTACACCAACCTGAAAGCGCAAGACAAGGACGAGGACAAGGATGCGACGACCAAGATCATACTGCGCAGCTCCAAGTTCAAGAACAAGCACAGGAAGCCGGAGCAGCAGGCCTCGCTTCTGGACTTTGTAGTAAAGCCGCGACCCAAGACCCAAAGGCAAATCAAGGCTAGGAAACTTCAGAGGCCCCATTTACCTATAATAAACAGTAGTTATATGGTAGGCAAACCCAAGGGGAAAACCCGAATTGACCCCAAAAAGAAGATCACCAAGTTGAAGAGATCCGTACGAAGTTATCGCACCTTGAAGAAGGCGGAACGGGAGGTCGCGCAGCAAGAGCCCGAGGAAGAGATCCAACCGGAATCCATTCCTGTGGAGCAACAAGTCCTGGAGCTATCCCTCGCTGAAATTCCCACACCCAAAGTCAGTCCACAAGGAGAGGAGATACATTCCATACATTCCCGGCGTTTTAGAAGGTATGCTGCCCCTACTTACACTTCTTGTGAAAGATAATCATATACTATATACTCGCCCGCAGCTATTGTGACAACTGCACCCGCCCTCGGCTCAAAGAGCTGACCCTAAAGTTGCTCAAGGATCTGGACCGCTTCCAGAAACGCGCGTTTGCCAAGAACGAAATCAAGGCTCGGGCACATCCCCGCCTGGTTTTGGGCTTTCGAGAGGCTCTGGCCAGACTGAGGATCAACAAGGTGAAACTGTTGATCCTGGCCACAGACTGTGAGATCTGCCCGGGTGAAAGTGAGTAGACCAATCGCTTGGAAAGCAATTGATAATAATATTCCCTTTAACAGGTGGTCTGGATGAGACGATAGAAGGTCTCAAATTCCAGTGTCAGCAAGGAAAAGTTTCCTACTGCTTTCCTATGGTTAGAAGAGAGCTTTCCCATGCCCTCCAAAAGCGGGCACAGATCTCCTGCGTGGCCATCTTAGACTTTGATGGAGCTAATGCCACTTTCGCTGATCTTCTCATCGAGTTAGAGGACGCTCGTGTCGAGTACAAACGCAGGACTGCTTTGTGAGAGTTTATTGAGTGCCAAAGACAAAAATAAATGTGCCGAGATGTGCACCAAACATTGAAAAAAAACATCCGAGTAACCCAGAGCCTTAGCCTGTCGGAGTCAGCATGGTGGTGGTGGTGACCAGGTCATGTAGCGTGGAGCTGCCATTATCCATGTCGGTGGCCGCGCCAACCAAGCCGGCGGTGTCATTCAAAGAGTTAAAAGTCTGTATGGCCTCTTTGGCCTGCTGGGCGGCCAAATTGAACTGAATCAAGATGATCAGATAGCTGGTGATCCCGCCACTCACGCCATACAGAGTCTCCATGTCCAGTGTAAAGAATCCACAGGCGGAGAAGTCAACGGAATGGTTGAGCAGCTTTAGCGACAGGTGGTTCACTATTTCGTAGAGGAGATTATCATCGGCCACCACACCGCACTTGTGCAGACTGATACCAGTGCGCTTGGAAGCCTGCGAAGTCTTCCAGCTCAGGTAGATGAGATACACACACTTTCCGGACGTATAACTCAAGGCTATGACCGTGATAAAGGGATTCTTGGCGGAACGGAAAAGCGATGGAATCGATTGAAACTGTGTGGCGCAGTAGAGGAAATACAATTGAGCTGTAAAAATGAGAAATCCATAGGCCATTAGCGATAGGATGGGGTAGCTCCATAGCTCGTTCATGGCTTTGCCAATCTCGCAAATCTCGTCGTGCACCTGGCACAGGTTGTTCAGCTTATCCTCAACCTTGGCGGCATTTCCCAGCTCGCTTTCGCGGATAATGTTCGATGCCAGGGGATGAGGTGGAGGTTTACCGAAAACAGCTTCAATTGGCTCACCGAAAGAGTTCATGGAGTGCGCCACTGGTGCCACCTTATTTCTTCCCGAACCAGACACCGAACTCTTGCCAATGGAACCCATGTCCAGGGCACCCAGCTCCTTGTACAGATACTCCAGATTACTATCATACTGCGGCGGCTGGGAGCTATCTAGAGGAGGTGCCAGCTCCTGATCGCCGCGTAGCCACAGTTTATATTTCTCGTGCGTGGCCACCAGCTCCTCCAGTGTGGCATTGATGGCCTCGAAGCGTTCCTTTAGCGCATAAAGCGAAACGGCAAACCAGATCTTGTCCAGCGTATTGATGAACGTCGGAATGGCGGAGACTACCCACAGCAACGACATCCACTGGCTGTAGTCTACCAGCTTGACGTACGTGGATACCAAAATGGACAACTCAAAGATGACCGTCATGATGAGCATGATCCGGATGCGCCGACCAATTGTGCTGTTGTCCATCACACAATTCTCCTTGTAAAGGCGCTCGTCCACCAGGCGAATACGCTCGTAGAGCTCTCCAATCCTGCCCTGGTTACGTAGGGCGGTCAACTGGTCGGTAGCCATCATGATGAGACCAATATAGGTCAGAAACAAGCCTATCACGAAGGTCAAGGTGCCTGTGAAGAATAAATACCAGAGTTATAGGTTCACCCCTTCCCAGTTTCATGCTTCACTGACTCTGCGAGGCCTTGAGCGAGCGGTCCTCCTCCCCGAAGGAGTAGATTAGAATGTTGTAGAGCACCACGTAGACCACCAGAGTACATAGCATGTAGATCATGCCACTGCGGGATTTCTCCAGCAGATTCCTACTGCGAAACTTCTCCAGATCCTGGGGCAGAATTCCGGCTATCTTGGATATGAAGAACAATTGCTGAAACTGCTGCAATAGGGGTTGCACAGTGTCCTCCGTCTGCGCCATGTTGTTCGATGGATACTTAAACCTGGAATGACCAACTCTGGCCAGCATTAAGCTATTACCTGCAGCTTGCACTTAGCCTAATTAATTGGCCCTCCGTCCCACAATCGATACTATCAACATGGTCTATCTACGGCGCCATATTCGGTGAACTCCATTTATGGATAATAATATTGCGGATGAGCTGACTTTTTGTTGTTTTTATTAAATGGGGAATTTGCCTGGGTTTTATATGGAACATTTGTATTTAAATTGAAAGCCAAATGTACACGGCATTGTTTATTTTGTATGCTAATAAATTTTTAGAAAGAGAAAACGTTAAACCTCCCCATTGTTTGTCAGATGTTCATGTCTTGGGGGTTGGTAATGTTATTAAAGCTTGATTTAGTTTCTCTTGCGACGTTCGTTCTGTTTTCGCTCCTCCTGCAAAATAATAAAGATAATTACTAAACTGCTCCCCCAAAGGTGCCAAAGCATCGTAAATATAGTTTCACAAGCAGCTAGAAAACTTTGCAAAAGGTTTCTTTCGCAGTTCCCGGAAATAAATATACTTCCCACAAGTGGTTTTAAATAAGACCTGAGTATCCTAGCCGGACTTTGTGAAAGTATACTTATTGCCCATGGCTGCTCGAAATACCGTTTGAAATGGTTTTTCACAGCGAATTTCAAATTGGAAAGCTTTTGCAAAGTGACCAGCAACTGTTCGAGGATTATCTGATCGAGGTGATTCGCCCGATTCGCTTCGGCATGAATTGCCTTAAACCATGAAGGTCTTGAGCTGAGTGAGGTGGCTATATAGCAAGTGATCGGTGAAAGAAACCCCTGCCCCGAGAACCTACCTTTTGCGTCAGGATGATCAGCAAACGGCGGAACATGCTGAGCACATCGAAGAACAGATCTAGAGCGTGTTGCACCACATCCCGGTTTCCATTCCGGCACTTCTCTACTATGTTCTGCGTGTCGTACACGATGAAGGCAGCCATCACGAAAACACCGACGTAGAGTTGAGTCTAGAAAAAGGAAAGAAATCGTATCATTAAATTGGATAATAGCGAACATAAACATAAACTAATGCGATTAAGGGAAAAATATGTTATATGTTATGCCTTGGTTAAAGTTGGGTTTCCAATTGATATGACAACAATTTATTTAAATTGGATTTTGTGAAACTACAGATGTGCTTGCGAAATAAAACTATTTATAAACTTTAGAGGGAGCTGGTAACTGGTAGCTGGGACCTGGGTGTGCAGCTAAAGAAGGCAAGTTGACTTTCAGCATCAACGAAAGGGAACTTACCACTTGGACAAAATAGGATTTGAAGACCATGTTGAAGAGACTCAGAAGAGCCATGGTGTTTATGACGCTGACCAGCATCCCGCCCAAGTAAAGGTACTTGCCCTGCTCGGCCAGCAGAGCAGCCAGGGAAAGCGAGATGAAGGTGACGAAGGTGCCGGTGAAAGCCGACAGGATGATGGCCGGATTGATGCTGCATATGTAGCCGAGGAGCGGTCCCAGGGTCTGTCCAGAGCAGAAGCCAAAGGCATAGAGCATGCTCAATCGTGTGTAGTAGTTTTTGCCGTCATCCTTGTAGAAGTGCAGGCCCAGGACCAGGATCAGAGTGGCCACCGCCGCCAGAACTCCGAGATCGAGGAAGTCGCGCATCTGGAGCAGGGCTCCCATGGCCGTGGCGGCGGCAGTGCTGCCCAGGACCATGTATACCTTGGACAGGTGCTGGCGCACATAGGGCTCACTGGGGAAAATAAGTAGGAGGAGTTGGTCTCATGAGTATACCAAATGTTTCAAGGCCCATCGATCCATTGGGCCGATGACCAACTGTTGATGTGGTCGGATACCAAAACAACACGTCAGTGTGACGCACTTGGACCCCAGACTTTGGGGTGACCCATCGGCATGTAATACTTACTAACGGTCCCCGAGGCCGTTCATAAACGTCTGGAAACGGTCGTGGATGTGACTCGCAGTATCTGCCATTGTGGTCTTTCTTTCTCGCACTTGCTGTTCCTTTTTTCCGGTTAAATTATACTTTAGCTTGTCGATCAAACGGAGGAGTGAATGTGAACTGTTGGTTTCGAAGTTTTCAAACTGACTGTTTACTTTGCAGGGCCTACTTGGTTCCCCTTTTTTTCCTTTTCTTTCTGTATTTCACAAAAGTTTTCTTTATCAGGTCTGTGTTGAGTAATTCAATACAAATTGGCCACTAGAGCTGCTCGATTGGCTTTTTACCGCTAAGTTGTCCACCTTTTACATTGCTCTGCGCAGAATTTCATAAATAATACTTAATAATTGACGCCCACAAAAAGTCCTGGAAGGTGCAAATATAAGTATTTCAATTGAAATTATTTTACAGAAAACATGTTTTACCTTTTTATTTCGTTTAGTAAGATTAAGATGTATATTTTTTTAGCTATTAAAGTCTAAATACCGCCAACACTGGTGATAAGGGAGTGTTTTGGCTGTTTACCTGTGTTAGTGTTGGGTAACAGCCGAATTTCCGGAACCTTCGAGATTATTACGTGACGTGTGGTTCAGTTGCGCGCGCTACCTTCTTTCCATTTGAAAAGTAACGAAGTTCGAAACGTCTTAAAATATAATTTTTTATTTTGCGCTAAATCCAAACAAGTCAAATGACGTATTTTGTAAAAACATAGTGCAATGTTATTTGTATTTTATAAATCATAAACTATGCGAAGTTGGTGACTAATATATTGTTGTTCATAAAACAAGGGATCTCGATAAAGGTTACAGCCTATAAATATGGGTCCCGTTCGAGTAGGACAACTTTACCTGCTTTGGCATGACTTAACAGACAGTATTCGTTTGCATTATATCATATGTAGTTTGTTCATCAAGATCACAATCACAGTTTAAATTGTACAAGACATCGTTAAGCTCATAATACTCATAACACCTCTAGGCTCTCGCTTTGCGAAGAGTTACAGGTACTTTTTAAATCGTAGGCTTGCGTTAACAGAGGTGTAATTGTAATTCAGGATTAGTGCGACATGATCTTAGTCGAGCATCGTTTACAAAATGTATGTACAAATAAAAAGTAAAGCTATAATTTAAAAAAGTAAAATGTAGATGATACAATAGGAGGGCTAAGTTGTGTAAAATGAGCCGCGAGTAGTACAGTATCTCGGGGGGAACTTGGATGACTTTGTTCTTTTTTAGGAACCTATGTTAGGAACTAACAAATTCGAGCGTTAGTAAAGTTAACTACGCTAAATGCGGTTAGGACGTGTTTATAGAGTAATTTAGTCTAAAAATCATGGTATTTGGGCAAAAATCACTCACTTATTCTATACAAATTTCGGATGGGATCAGTCGTCATTTAAATGCTACAATTTCACTCACACTCAGTCACAGGCACACAAGTATGATCGACTTAAATTTATATGGTAAGTAAAAACAATATAAAACAAATGCATCGAAAATACAACAAAAGAATCGCGTAATCTTTGAAAATACATTAGGGCTAACGATTTCCAGCCTCAGTCGGCGAAATGATTTTGTTAATATAACAATTTCAATACAAATTGCACGCACAAGTGCAATAATTTTTGTCATTTTTTACATACAATTTTGTTGTACAATTATAAATTCATTAACTAATAGGATTAGGTTTGGTTTTTATAATAAGAGTACAAGAAGACACACAATGCAAGACAGTTTTGGTGGAGGTTTTTTTTCTGGAACAATTCTTTTTTCATACGTTTATGTTTTATTAAATAAACCGAAATTTTAGAGTACAATAATATTGAAATTCTGCTGCGAAGACGGCGGTGCAGGATTGCTAGTGGTTTGTTGTTTGATGGTCCAGTGCCCATCAGTGTCTAAAATGTCCCGCGCTGACTGCCCCTTTCAAGTCCTCCATCGATCCTCCTGCAGCTAACTTTGATGTCGGTTTCACTGCTGCTTAGAGTGCTGGGTTGAGAAGTTGAGGAGGTCCAGAGACAGTCCCCGTCCGTCGTTGGTAAAATCTTGTCAGCATTTCGGCTTATTATAGTATGTCTAGGAGAACTATGCTGTATGCCATATTCATATCCTACGTATTGGTAATGTTAGATACAAATCGAAAATCTGTTAATTGTGGCTAGCTTGTCATCCCACCAAGCTGCGGCTTATTGTTTGTTAATAGAGTGTGTTTAGTATATCTGTGTTGCATCTTTACTCTTGATTACTGAATCCACTGGCGCTGCTCCTATCCTCCACTTGTGGCAATCAATGCCGGGAACGGTGCTCCTCGCGCCTGTCACGATCGCGCTCCCGCTCACGGTCACGGTCCCGATCCCGGTCGCGCCGCTCCCTGTCCGATGATCGGTACCTTTCCCGGTCCTCGTAGTACCGCTTTGAGGAAGGTGCCTCTGCAGCCTCGGCGACAACGGGCTCCGGTGACTTTCGCGGTCGTACCGATCGGCTGTTGTCGGAGAATGGGATTAAATTAACTATGGTTTCACATTTAGAATTAGAGATTAATTCGCTTAACTGTTTTCTTATTTGGTTGCAATTATTTTTCTATAACTAATTTAAGCTTATTAAATTTAAATTAACATATTTCAAAAGTGCTATTATTTAACATTTAATTTTTAAAAATTGTTGTTTTGAATTACTGAAAGTTCTATGCAAAGAACTGCAAAAGTCACACATAATGGTTTTTTCTTTAGAAAATAAACCGAGGTATACACAATTTATATAATAAAGTAGAGTTTTCACATGGACCGACAAAAGCAAACGTCGTGACAATTTAGTATATGGAATTTTTCTGAATTTTACTGCAAGAGTAAAAATATATAAGAAGATTGATCGTAAAAACATTTTTTCTTATAAAAATGATTGCGACAACAAAGTTATCAAATGTAGGATAATGACAAATTTATCTGGATCTTTCGAATGAGACAGCGAAGCGAATTATATGCAGTCGAAATTGTTTTACCTGTCATCCCTGTAGTGATCTGGAGCTTGCCGTTCCCGTTCTCTGCTGCGTGACCGCTCCCGGTAGCTACTGCAAAGCCAATTAAATATTGGATATTTTTATTTGTACTTTAAATTTCTAGCATTGAGCTTACCCGCCATCCCGTTCACGCTCGCGATCCCGATCGCGTTCTCGTTCCCTAGAACGCTCGCGATACCTAGACGTAGATCGCTCGCGTCGCTGCCGACTGCGATGGGATCGCTCCCTGGACCGCGACCTTTCGCGCCTGTTGTAGCTCTTCGCCTCAATGCCATGCAACGTGTCCTGCAGCGAGCTGATCAGGATTTTGCAGCGCTCGTCGTGCGCTACCTTGGACTGTTTGATCAGTGAAATGGCCGTGACCAGCGTCTCGATGGCGCTCGAATATTCACCAGCGGCCGCATCAGAAACAGCTCTAAAATGGAAGAGTTGGATTAATAAATTTGCATACAAACAGTGATCGAAAGAGTGAACATAAAACATTTTATCAAACTTTTGTGTTGTTGTTTTTGGAATGAATGGATTTGCTTTAAATATTTATCTATGCGCATGCATTTGCAATTTTCATACCTAGTGCTGTGATTTTTGGTGAATTAATTATTTAAAGACTTTAAAGATATATTATCTGCCTCGGCCTGTTCTCTTTTTTACTGTCCATATGGACCTCTTATTACGGACCAATTTTTAAAAGATAATAACGTTATATCAACTTAAAGTTTATAAAACTATTTTATATTAGTAATTAAATTAATTCACATGCAGTTTACTATAGTATGCAAGAAAATGCCGGTCTTTGCACCCACCTGGCGATCGCTGAACTGCTGACTGTGCGATTTCTGCTCATCACCTCCTCGAACTCCACCTCCGTGAGTTGCGGACCCATCTGCTGGGGATCGGGGAAGGGACCCGGTGGCTTACCCTGCGGTGGCGGCCAGGGACCTCGCGGACCATGCTGGGCGAACTGGGGCGGCGGTCCGTGCTGCGGCGGCATGTTCATGCCCTGCTGCGGTGGCATATTCATGCCTGGCTGCGGACCGGGGGCTCCATGGGGCGGACCACCCATGCCCGGATGCTGGGCAGGACCGCCGGGTTGGTTAAAGAACGCCGGATTCACGTGGGGTGCGGGGGCGCCGTGTGGTCCACCCGGACCTGGCGCTGGGGGAAGGCCTCTGGGCGGACCCTGCGGCGGGAAACCACCGTGCATGGGCGGACGACGCCAGTCGGGACCCGGTGGACCCCTAACAGGCATGCCCATGGGTCCTCCTTGGAACTGCAAAGCAGAAAGATATGGATTAGTTACTATTCTCAGATACGAAAACAGGATCTAGGCTATGGAATGAGTTGGTGTTGCATGGGCTGATCTGTGGAATTACTTTAAATGTTCTGAATACATCGCTTAAGACTAAGTTAACTAAGGTTAACTTAAGTTTTGTTAGTCTTTATTTATCTCTTTCTTTTTCTTGCTTCGTTAGAGTATATAGTATGACAGAGATTATAGGAGGACTCAGTGCTTTAGGGATTGTTACCATTGGTCGTTGCGGCGGTCCGTTCGGTGGACCTGGTCGTGGTCCGCCTGGCCGCTGACCTGGCCATTGGCCCTGCGCTGACGGATACCGGGGTGGCGGCTGTTGGTTGCCCATGAGCCCGCCTTGCGGATGCATCGGCGGCTATATTAATACATATTACGTTTTTTGTTGGAGTAGTAGTTGTTGTTGTGGGGTAGAAGTGTGCGTAAGCGTTGTCAAAGACATGGAATAGAACATAAATCGTAATACATAAACATTTTATATAACAATAGCTGGGGATTTTACATTTACAAATACTAGTAAGGGATACATTTACGGAATTTAAATTAAAAGTTAATCTTCTTTGCTTGGAGCCAGAAAGGGATTGTATGTCTTTCAGACTCTCGATTTTATTTAATTACAATGGGGTTTTGTCGATTAAAGGTCTAATAGGCTAAAGTACAGAAAATATAAAGAATACAAAATTCTTAGGCTGAGAAGTGCTACAAAAATTGCTCTGAAATTACTTGTAAATACACCAAAATAAAATATAGAACTTAAAATCATAAACAACAATTTTAGAAACTTAGTTATTACGACAGTTTGAGTTTAGTTTATAAATAAACAAAAGAAATATGAAATATATATCGAGTCGTATATTAATGTTTTCTAATATTAAAAACTTATTTTGTACGATGGCTGCAGTTTAATTTATAAAATTAC